CTTCATTTTAACTTAATTCCCACATTCAAGGCCTTGCCTCCGATTACAGTCATCTCTGGGGATTCAGATTTCAAAATATGAATTTGAGGGGCTCACACAATTGAGCCCCTCACAGTATGCTTGAGGCAACATGCTAAGTGCCTTACATTCTTTCACTTAAGTCTCACTGCCAACTCATGAAAGAAAACTGAGGCACAGAGAGATGAAGTACTGTGGCCAAGGCAGTAGTCAGAAAGCAAATACAGGCAGCAAATACAGATTCCAGATTTCACACAATGAACCCCCCTCACACATAACCTTTTTTCATGGGTTCTACAGGATCCACGATAATTTCCCAAAAGAAAGAGAATGAAATGGCAGCTTCAGTCAAAAGAGAAAAGTGCCACTCCCAAACCATTCTCTTTCCCAGGGGGAGGGAGCAGAGAGGCCGCAGACAGTCCTCCACTTTGCCATGGGGACCCCCTCTTACCTCATCCTTCCAGCCCTAGCAAGACGCGCGAGCCCAAGCAGCACGTGGCTGGGTCAGCCTGGACACCCCCAGCAGCAACCAAATCCACAGATATCGTGGAAGTCCTTGGAACCCCAGGGGACCACAATTATACTTGAAGTCCTGTCCTCTCTGTCTCAGTGGCAAGCCTTCTAGATGTTTGCATTTAGGAAAAAGTACCAGGCAAAGGTTCAAGAGGATCCCTGCTAGAGCATAGTGCAGGCTTGAAACTCAGGTCACCGAGAGCAGAGATGGTGTCAGCCAAGTCAGGACACCTCACAGGGGCCTTTATAACTGCCAGTTAGAAACTCCCATGTGAACACCAGGGATAGTGCCGCCATGTAGTTTCTCTCAGCACTTACTCTCCCCTTTAAGACTCCAGGAAGGTGTGACGAGAGCAGGGACGCTTCTGGACCCTGACACATGCTCCACATTAGAGTGTTTAACCAGATTCTCACTGGAGTTGTTTTAAAAATAAATTTTAAGGGCCTCCCCGGTGGCGCATCAGTTGAGCGCTGGGTGGCGAAGCTGCCCGCGGCCTCTGCGGCGCCGGTTCGATCCCCGGCTGCTCCCCGGCCACCGGAGGAGGGTCCCACATGGCGCGCAGACCTCTCCTGCCGCCCGCTGCTCCCCTCAGCAGTGTGCTTTGGTCCTTCTGCCTGCTCTGCTCCCCACTCTGGCTCTGGTGAGTTCGCTCACCCTCCCGCGCTTCTGACTGTGCCCAGTGCTTGTATAAACAAAACAAACAAACAAATAAATCATAAATAAATAAAAATACATGCCTCTTTAAAAAAAAATAAAATTTTTTTTAAATAAATAAATTTTAAAATAGGACTTTGGTCATGACAGCAGGCTCAGCTGCCAGACCCTGCACAGAAGGGAAGCAGGGAGAGACGTGCCAGTTTCTGCCTGATGGTAATCTGATAAATTCCATTTGAAATATTCATATCTGTAAGCATATTCATTAGGAAATTACTATCCAGGTAAAATAGTAACCAAGATATCCAGCTAGTAACAGTCCTGTGGTTGACTTGTAACTTTAGAAATTAAATTATAAACCTAAGAGAAGCTGAGGCCCCAAAACGTTAGATGACATCAAAATGTTAGATATCATTTCTGAAATACATATATGAAGTAAAAATAAGATACATTTCATTTTCAGAATTCAATACAACTATTACATATATTTTGGCACACTCACAATCCAAAATCTAGAAACATTCTCAACTACTTTCTGGAGAGATACTGAACTCATTTTTTAACATCAATGAAAGGAGACAAAAATCTTAAATATTAGATTTATTTATATGTCAATTCATTATCCCAAAAGTCTTACATTGTACAAAGCCATGTAGACAGTGAGTAGTCTTAAATCCAGATGTAATAAATCTATAGACCACCCTTACCCCTCTAAGACCCCAAATCAAAACTGATTAGTGAAAACCTGTCTACAAGGGCAACCTCCATAAAGCCCAGGTGTGTTTTCCTTTGCGACAGGCGTTCAAACACCAGTATCCGTACCCCCCACTAACTGACCACGCAGCAGTGCAGGTAACACGTATCCTGCAGTGAAAGGACACAGAATTTCCATCGTCTACAAAGGCAGCATCACTTAACCAGGTTGTAAATGAGCCTTAAACAACCACTGTAACTAGCAGAGGTTGCGGTTCTCGGCATGGGTAAAAGCTGTGATGCTCAACCTCAGCTGCACATGACCTTTACCAGGGGTACTTCTAAGAATATCACTACTCAAGTATGAATTAAAGTAGTCTGGAATGAAGCTTAAGAAAAAATGCTGTTATTCTAACGTCACTGAGGATTAAAAACCGGTGGAGAAAAGACTGATCCCTTGGATAAGGAATGAGAACACATGCTACAATCACTCTCTCCCTTTTTCCTCCTGGAGATTATGGATTCAGGACAGAGTAGTAGAAGCAGAATGTTACTTTGCCCTGCTCGATATGATAAGCGCATCCCATATCACAGGAAGGAGACACTTTGCACCCTGAGAAAACCAGAAGTATCTAGCTGGTTCTGATCTCTCGGACACTGCTTCTGCTGTGCTGATTTCTGAAAACTTGTCATGACCTTTGTGAATACAATAACCATGTGGGAGAGTTACTATTTTCCACCATGAACAGATCAACACAGATTTGGAAGCCATGTTTTTATTTGGCATAATTCTTCATTGCTCTCTTAGCAGCTAAACGTGTCCTTTTCTAAACGTTTGTCACTGAGTCTTTCTTCAACACAGTTCAAGCTCAGCGTGCTTGGACTCAGAACTGGGTCATCTCTAAGGGTAGAAAGTCTCCACAAGTGATAAGGGAGAGGAGTGAGAAAGGAGAAGCGGCTCAGTGAGCCCGTGGGCGCTTCAAGGTGCAACCCAAGACCCTGCTCAAACGTGTTTGGGCTGCACTGAGCAAATCCCAAGGCGGTGTCAGCTCCTCTCTGTAGCTTTGATAGCTGGTGTCCCCCACGCTTCCCCGCTGAGTTGTGCTAAGCAATGCTCCCGAATTCTAAACTAAGGTTGACCCCAAAATCATAAACACACACCAAGGAAACAAGAGCTCTGCCACTACTGACTTTTCTGTAACTGGGGAAACCTATTACAATAAGTTCTACTTGCTCTTTAGCTAAGAGAAACGTGGTCTCAACAAATCTGACATGAAATGGTATGGTACATCTCGGTGAAAGAAGGCTCTCGTCTGTTGTGACCAGTCCCTAATTACTGAATGTAGTAAATGCTCAGCAATTATCTGTTAAATGATTGAGACGGGGAGTGGAGGAAAAAAATGACTGCTATACAATGACTTGGGAATCTTTCTGTTCCAGAAATTAGAGCTATAATTTTAAGCCTTACAAATTGAATATTCCCTTCTATCTCACTTAAGTGTTGCTCTGCTTGAGAGCAGACTTTTTCCTCAGAATCAAATTCTCTACTACATTGTTACAAAATTCACCTAGGAGCTTGTAGAAACATAGAATTTCAGGCTTTATTCCAGTCCCACTTAGAGAATTCATATTTAAACAGGTAGTTCTAATGCCCACTAAAGTATAAAATACTCTCCACATTGTCTAAATAGCCTCATCAGCAAATAAAAAAACACCTGAAGAATTGCATAAAACAATCTCAAACACACGCAACAAAAATTTCAATTAAAAAAAGCAACACTTTAAGCAAACCTTGATCATACTTTAATCTTTTCTAACCATTCCTGTTATCTGTACCAAGACCACAGCCACATTAGAGCTGTCACACACCTGTGTGCACGCATAGGCAAACACGCACAGAGTCTCTCACAACACTATAAACAAGTGGTATTTAAACACAGATACAGGACATTCCAAAGTGTATGTGTATATACACACACACACACACACACACACACACACACACAATCTCATCTACTCCCATAAGAATTTTAAGCTCTGTTTTAGAAATAAACAAACTGGAATTATGTGCTCTGCCAACAGAAAGTGGTAAAGGTGACGATGGGCAACTTTATGTTGTCCAAGGCTCCAGCCAGGCAGACTGGCTCTGAAGCAGCAGGCTGCCCACCATGAGGGGTCTCGAGAGGAACATGGCCTCGGGCACTGGGGAGGTGCCACCTGGCAGCCAGCAAGAAGCAGGCCCTTCAGTTGACCATGGCAAGGAAGTGAAGACTGCCTGCCACCATGAGGCCCTGCAAGGGAACTCCAAGCTCCAAAGGGAACACAGCTCTGTCCAGCAGGTGACTGCAGACCTGGGCCACCATGAGCAAGGGACCCAGCGACATCGTGCCTACATTTCTGACCCAAGGAAACGGGAAAAAACAAACTGTCTGTAGTTTTAAGCTGCTAACTGGTGAGGATTTGTTACTCAGCAAGAGAAAATGTCAGTAGTGGTTGGTTGTGGGTCTCAGACACTTACCTAAGAAATGACTATTAGAATGAGTATTAATTCTTGGAATTGTACCAAAGTGGAAATACACTATCAAACATTAAAAAGCCTATAATCTCATAGGGCCGTGTACAATTTGGCTTGTGCATGTGGACTTTCCAGTATGGACTTTCACATTTGCGCCACGTTCTTAAGTCCAACCAACTCTCCCTGAGCTGCATCTTCTACCCCTTCCCTGTGGATACTGCAGGCAAATCTCTCTTCTAGCAAGCCTCCTCAGTCATTTGGGGTGCCACTCAGCAAGTGGAGGACAAGCAGTCTCCAAGTTCTAGCTAAGAGAGAACCACCGTGTGTACAGAGCAAGAACAGACTTTATACTTTACTTCCTCCAGAAACTGTTAGATCAGTAACAAGAAGTAGTGTTGTGGCCAGGGCATAAGGTGAAATGGCAGTGGTCCAGAAAGGCACTGTACTTCACTTAAGTACACACAATGGCACATTAGTAAGAATTAGGTCAAAGAAAATAGACATACTGTAACCATAAATACCGGTAAAGAGACGTGAACAAGATCTATCATCAATGCTCATATTTCTTTTTCTTTTTTTTAAAAATTTATTTATTCATACAAGCACTGGGTACAGTCAGAAGCGCAGGAGGGTGAGAGAATTCACCAGAGCCAGAGCGGGGAACAGAACAGGCAAAGTAATGAAATACCCTGCTGAGGGGAGCAGCGGGCAGCAGGAGAGGTCTGCCATGCCATGTGGGACCCTCGCCGGCGGCCCGGGATCAAACCAGCACTGCAGAGGCTACGGGCAACTTCGCAGCCCAACGCGCAACCACTGCCCCACCATGGGAGGCCCGATGCTCATCATTTTTCAAAGGCTGGCTCACAACAGCCTGGCCAGACTCCTGAGGTCCCCCTCTGATCCTGACTCCTGGGCCATCAAGACCCTCTGCATCATTAATTTGGCTTGACAGTTATTTCACACTCAGGAAGGAGCAGCTCTCCATGGTTGATACTAGTCTTCCATCGCCAGAAAACACTTTGCAATGCACCTCATTGAAAATTAAACTAGCAGCCTGGTCTACAGTGCTTGTCAAATGACTTTACCAGTCAAATTCAATGAGAAGCAGCAAATCCAGAACCCCAGGACTTAGACCCAGATTGTTTCTCAGGTAGGTTAAGGCCACAAGAGACCCCATCCACAGCCCTATTACTTACTAAGAAACTTGAGACAGATTTTGAAAGCAGAACATTTATCTCCAAACTCCATCTAACATAGAGAAAAATCAGCATACAAAAATAACTTTAAAACATCTGTATGTTATGCACAATCTGCATAACTGAATGAATCACTGCATTTCGCTGAATATAACACATTGATGTTAAATGCAACATTATTTTGTATACGGAAAACATTCAATTAAAGTTTGTCACAAACTTATATGATCATTGATTTGAAAACATACTCTCATTTCAAAGATGTTCAAATGTCAGCAAAGGGACATCTTAGAATCGATAAAAGACAGTACTAGATAATTACTGAAACACAGTAATTACTCAAACACAGTAAAAACATTGAATCTCTTTCCACTAACATAAGGTCATAATCAGCAGCCCTTTCGTAAAGCTATTACTGTTGTTTCACTTCTCATTTTAATGAAGAATGGGTGGCACTTTATTATTTCCAGCAGACATCTTGCACAAACTTTAAAATCTACTTGAGTATCACCTGTATTTCACTTCTAGAGGCACTGATGAGATGAGATAAACGAGTCCTAAGTGAGTGAAGTGGCTGAATGCATAGCCCAAAAGCTGGTCAGCAGCATCGAGACTTGAACAGAACCTCTAGAGCACTGACTCGTATCCTCTTCATAAAATACTGAACCAGACTTATTAGAATCTGTTGGTGCAATGCTATGGACAGGGAAAAGCAATGAACAAAACTTCTGTTTGCAAAGACACTCTTTTGTGAAATGACGCTGCCTAATTTGCCTGCCAGAATACCTATGACTGACGTTGATTACTAAGGGCTTTGCTACTACGATGGTAGCCAAGTGGTCAAAATAAATGCTTGCTTTGCATGCCGAGGGAGAAAACCATAAAATACTGCTCAGCCAGCCCCGTGCAAACACTGGCCTTTACAAGATGCCGCTGTATGGGACAATCGGTTCCTTTATAGAAGGCTCTGGCATACAAAATGTTTCAAAACCTTTAGCAAACCTGAATCTCAGAGCATGCTGAGCTTCTGCTAAAGCTCTGCTCTGACTGGCCTCCTCAGAAGTATAATTTTCAAAAAGTCAGGGTAACTCCCTCTTCTCTCAGCGTCAGTCCCTCCTGTCCTGGTTACCTGGCCTGTCACTGCCAGGAGAGTCGCCGGGGATAAGTGGTGAGGCCCACTCCAGCTCTAGGCCGTTGGAATGAGACAGGCTGAAAAGGTCAGCTGCAGGCTCCATCAAAGTATGTCCAGACGTCTCCATTACAGAATTCCTCATTGTGGCGTTCATTTCAATCACTTCGAAATCCATTTCATTCCATTTTTCTGCGTCCTCGTCCTCAATGTCCTCCTCATAGTCATTGAGCTCAGAGCTAGACAGCAGAGCTCTCTGGTCCTCGCTCTTCCTGTGTTCTTTCCCTTGACCCTCCAGAGGGAAGGTGGCTAGTTTGTACATCACGGGAAATAAAACGGCCGTGGCGACTGCCGCCCCCAAGGAGGTGTACAGGACGATGGGCAAATCTTCGTACCTTCCCTGGAGGGTCCCAATCACCCCGGGAATCGCCATTTCTCCCAAGGCCGCGCCGATGACAAAAAACGCCGCGGATTTCCCGTGGATGGTCGTGTACTGCTCGATCCAGGAAACACCGCTGGGAAACGTGGTTGCCATCGAGGCCCCATACACGGCAGTGGCCGTCCAGAGACAAATGGGGTTCTTGTCGAAAAGCACCAGAAAGAGCGACGAAGCCAGGCTGCCAACGTTGCTCAACACAATCATGGTTCCGGGTTGTAAACAGGCCGCAAAGAAGATGGCCAGACCTCTGCAGGCCGCAAAGCTGCCCCAGAACATGGAGTTCACCCCAGCCGCTGCACTTTCTGTCATGCCAACGTGGGTGGTTGCAAATGAGAAAACGTAGGAGCCGTAGGTCACCTCGGCTCCAACATAAAAGAAGAAGAAGAGGAAAAGGAGACAAAGAAGGGCGTGGTGATATTTAGCTTTTCGAAACCTCTGAGCAGTTGCTTTTGTCTTTTCCCTCCTTGAATTTTTCTTAAATAACAGAGCAAAGAAAAAGATAGAAACTACAAATATATAAGTACCGATGGAAATGTAAGTCCACAGTAAAGTCATGTTGTCAGGCACTCCGAGTAGCACGTCCGAGTCAGCTCCGGAGGACTGGTTCAGGGCAGGTTGCCGAGAGTCGACCTCTGTGTGGTTGTCAGCAGACACCGCCGTCCCCCATGCCAATTTAGCCAGCAGTGGAGCCAAAAAGGCACCCAAGGCAAAACTGAAGTGTAAGGCCTGCATGTGTGGAGCTCCTCTGTCCCCCCAAATAGCCAAGAGTAGCACGTTACCACCTACCAATGAAAGAGGGAAGGAGGGTTGAATTGTGGAAGCAGCTCAGTGGTTCAGACAGACAGGGCAAGTCCATTTTTCCATGGTGCCAAGACTATAACGTACTCAGATAACAAATACGGCCACTCACTCCGTTCTAGGACTGAGGAACTCTCAGCTGCCGCTACCAGAGAACTCAAGGTGTAACCCCACATAACATGGAATTCCACCAGCCAGGAAACCACTACCGTCTAGAGCCAGGCACATCAGCACAAGGCTTTGTATGCTAGAGCTCTAACAACAGGCTTTAGGAGGAAAGACACTGTATTTCCCTATAAAAATTCATAGTAAGTATGGCATCCGTGGCACTTTAGGGGTTAAAATCTCAGCACTCTTTCTGTGAGAGCCCACCACAGCCACCTGAGTTTGATCCCTGGCCAGGGAGCTGACCCACAAATGGCGAAGACCTTCCTGTCTCGTCCTGTCTGCTGCTCCCCTCAGCAGTGTATTTCAGTAAATTTGCCTGCTCTGCTCCCTACTCTCTGGTGAATATTCTCACCCCGCCCCCTCAACACACACACACTTTTGGCCTATACCCCAGTTCTGCCACGCAAAAATAAATAAAATCTTTCAGAAAATACCTATTTTCTAAAGGAGTAAAATTTTTTCATCACATAGTGGTTAAATTACTGAAATTTTCTACACCAGTAAGGTAGTCACTTGAGGAAAATTATTCATGTATATGGCAGATGCAAAACACCTTTTCAGGAATCTGAGCTCTACAGGACTCTGCTGTGCCCATTGCAGGAAGCACGGAAACTTCCAGCATCTGCACTTACACATCTATACAGAAGAGCAGCCACTTTGGGGTTTCATTCTTTTCTTGTTTTTAAACGTATTTGCAGATAAACTCACCATTAAACAACCAAACTAAGCCTAAAATATAAAACATTTCCCAATTGAGCAATTAACAGCAGAGCATGGAAGAAAGGGAGGAAGCTGGTTTTAGGACAGAATACTTCTTATGGTAACAGTTTTTTCAAGCTCTCATGATACACAGAAAGGGTCTACTCGAGGAGGGCAGGACTTTTGAGAGAAAAAGATGATAAAAGCACAGGCTTCTCTTAGTCCAAAACACTGATGCATTTAAAACTGATAGCACAAAAAACTGATAGCTGCTTTTATGCTTCCTCAGCCAAATGGCTCCAAACTTGGAGCCTGTCAACCCAGCAATTCCTCCTTCCCTTATTGCAATGATAAATGCGAGGCTAAAATGCAAATCCTCACCTGCACGGAAATGACCCACTCCAGAGCCCTTCCGTGATGTACACTGTAAGTCAACAGTATCTCACAGAACAAAACTCTTTCACCTCACTCCATGGTCAACAGACTCCAATTAGCACCCTTCTTGGCAAGAGGAGGAGCTGCCAGAAGGGTGTTCTGAATGGGTGACCTCATGACCACCTCAGTAGGTGTCACTCTAGGGAACACTGCAAAAGACCGTGTAATAATAACATCTGCTCTGAATTTTGTAATAGAAATTCTCTGTGCCCTCAGATGACTGAAGGGCTCACTCACCTGTATCCAGAATGCCTGTTGAAAAACCGAAGACAGCCATCATGACAATCAGCAGGACTGCCGTCTTACAAAACGGAACAAGATAAAGACCGGCGGTGGTGGCCAACAAGGACACCCCTGAGAAAAAAGGTAAAGTCAGCGGTACAATGCGATATTCAAGCAGAGCATCGTGGATCAAGTCAGCCTCAAACCCACCCCCCAAAATGCAAAAGAGCTCAAATTAAAACTCAGTAACAATGAGCAGATGAGACCGTCAGTTCTACAAGTGGCTACATTGCTGAAAAGCTTTTATAATCTTCGTGGACTATAAAGTACAAATTATTCTCATCTAGCGCTGCTCATCAAATGAAAGTACATAGCATGGCAACGTTTACAGCAAAATAGCTCAAAAGGTATTTGCTTATTTAAAGGTTTCATATTTAAGAACCTAAATGGCATTTTAGATATTAGCTAAGTAAAAAAGGCAATAATAAAATGTACTTACTATGTGTAATGGGGCAACCAGGTGCAGGTAGGGCAGGCGGGGGTCGGGAGCTTCAAGAAGCCACTGAGGCTCCCAGCCCCCCGCAAATCTTTACCCTCTTTCTCTGAGCTCTCTCTGGCGTTCTCTTGTGGTCATACATCCTCCCACAGCCGTTCCTTATAGCCTGGCCCTCCAGGCTCAGGTGTGCCCTCTTACGCATGCCCACACCATGCTACAGCTGGCCACAATCAGGCACAGGTGCCCGGCGCCCACGCTGCCGAGCGCCTTCTGCATCAACACAATCAAGGCCGCAGATGCTAGCCACAGAGGCTAGTGGCGTAAAAAGCCTGATTAGTTTCATTTACCCTGCACTATGGTATCTTGGAGGAGGAATGTCTAAATATATTAGTTGGGAAGTTGAGGGCGAAATACAAGAAACATAGTCAACTCACTCTGGAAAGAAGAGGGATTATTTGATTATTTGTGAAGAGCAATAAATTACTCTTCCAGCAGCTTTATCAATCCAATCCAGAATTCCTTTAAACATGTTATTTATTCAAAAACAGGGTGAGGGGAAAGATTTGGCTTCTGTTTTATGGATATTGGAAACTCCTGTGGTATCACGCGCACAGGCCAGCAGGGATAATTAGGCCTGCGGCCGTCACTTCAGCCCCATCTTCTCCCACCTTCACTGTCAGGCCTGGGTCTAGCCTGGGCAGGTTCAAGGTGTTGCCCAGGAAATGTGCCCTGACCCTGACAAGCAGTCCTCCTTGGACAGTCAGTTCGTGATCCGGGGTGATGCCTAAATTACATCAAGGTCAGGAAAGCTAAGCGTCTCCAACACACCCCAGGGCTGAGCCAATTTTCCAGCTGGGCCCAGCACTGACAGCCTGTAACTGTCCAGATGAGAGCAGGCACCAGGGAACCCTAACTCGCACTGAGGACACCTGAACACTCTGCATTTTGTCAGCTCTGCGACTAGCTCGTTTCCTGCTTAAAGACACATGGTAAAGTCCTTGAAAGGCACGAAGAAGCTAAAACTGGTGTTTACTTACCCAAAAGCAGAAAGTGATTCATACAGTCGAAAAGAACCCCTCCAATCACAGAGCCACTCAAATATCCAGAGGCTCGGCCCACAAAAATCAAAGAAAGACTGCTGATGTTGCGGTTCACATTTGTTGCCAAATCCTGAAATGTGGGACCTAAGATGGCAACACTCATTCCCTAAAATTAAAAAAGAGAAATATTTTCCTTACAATCATTAATGGCTACCTGGTGGCAGGTTTTTTTCATTATGAAAAAAGGAGAGGATTTCAATGTAATCTGGGGCTTTTTTTTTTTAGCACCTGAGGTGTTATTTTAACACCTGGTGGCACAGGGGTCACAGTCTCAGCATTATCAAGCTATCACCAGCCACTGCAGCACAAGTTCGATCCCAGGGAGCCACCCAAATGGCTCAGCAGACCTCTCCAGTCTCGCCTGCTGTGTATTTCAGTAGTCCTGCCTGTTCTGCTCCCCACTGTCTCTGGTGACTCCTCTTACGCCCCGCACCTCTGGCCTACATCCTAGTTCTTTTTTTTAAATTTATTTATACATACAAGAGTTTGTGTAGGCCAGAGATGTGGGGAGAGAGAGGAGTCACCAGAGACAGAGTGGGGAATAGAACAGGCGGATTGACTGAAATACATTGCTGAGGAGAGCAGCGGGCAAGACAAGGAGAGGTCTGATGCACCATATGGGTCAGGTCCCAGGCTGGGTATTGAACTCGTGCTGTAGTGGCTGGCGACAGCTTCATCGTGCTGACACTTAAGGTCTTGTGCCCCCAGGGAGGCCCTACACCCCAGTTCTTGTATGCATAAACAAAAATAAATCTTTTTTAAAAATAGTAATCATAGTCCCACAGTCTCCCCTCCTAGGATGCCAACTTCTTGTCATTACCTTGTTTTGACAAGTCAGTTTTTGAACACTAATTCTTTTGGCTTTTTCACGATCCTGTTTCTCCTTAAACAGTACTCTAGAAGACTATTTTGTATAAATAATAACATCTAACACTAAAATAATTTTTGAAATTTTTTTGTATATTTTGAAATATATACACGTCCAAATGACACAAGAATTTAAGTGTTAAAATTTTAATTGTCAAGCCATCTAAAGTTCTTCCCACTCTTTGATGTTATTAAAACAGCAGTATTTTGGAATGTACATGTTCTTCCTTTGAATTACACATAGAAAACATGCAAGAGAGAAACAATTTAAACATTTTAAATTGACATTTTTCCTTAAGAAAAACCCAAAATTGTCAATAATTTGTTCAAAGACAACATAGTGTTAGCAGAACTAAGGATTTCAGTTCACTAAGTATAATCCTTGGATTGTTAAAAATGTTTCTAACCAATCCACATTCAAGAATAACATATTCCAATTGCCCTGTTTCAAATGCTTTGGAGTGCCCCTGCCCAAGACTGAGCTGTTCAGGAATAAGGACAGGCGTGGCACAGGAAAAAAGCCATCCCCAGTCCTAATCCTGTTAGTTCCTGCTGCAAAGTACCTACAACAGGAGTCAAAGTGAGGGCTCACCAAGCACCTGCAAAACTTTCTAATTAAAAACAAAACAAAACAAAACAAAACAAAAAAACCTCTAAATACCAACTATGGCTCAGAGAAAGACTCCAGGGACCAGAAGTCACTTTTCAGAGGACACACTTCGACCCCTGATTTGTCCAGAATCAACAATCACAAGAGATGAGGGCAAGAGTTCTGAAAATAAGGTAGAGAAGGGTTTTGGCAAAAGGTGCTTCTAGTCTTGCAGTTTGCTCCAAGAAAACAATAGAAGGATCTGAAGCTTGTTCTGCATAGGATTTGGGCAGAGTAAGCCACATACTGGTTCTACTACTTAGCTAGTTGTGTGATCCGAAATGTTACTTTACCTTGCTGCGTCTATTTTCCCATCTGAAACAATAATGAGAGGGCTGAATGTGGTCAGAAGAGGAGAGAAACCCCTAGAAAAGGATTCATGTCCGGAAAAGCACCTTTCAGTGAACAATCTCCGATACAATGTTAGTCCCTGTTTCCAGCTAAGTGTGTATTAGCCTGTATGATCCAGGTTTGTGGAAGAAGGAGCATGACGATCCCACAAGGAAATCACGCTTCTCGGAACCGTAAGTTACTTCAAGAGAACTATGAAGTAACTTCATGAGTGGACAGCGGCTGCACACTGGATGACTCACTCACATCTCCAATCTCCCGGAGAACTGGAAAGGCTGCAGAAGCTAATAATATAGTAGCCTAGTAAATTCTGGACCACCAGAACCCTTAGATTAGACGTGTACCATTCTCCAGAGGACAAAACTGAAGCTGGGGGGGACTAAGTAAGGCCCCCAAAGTCAGTTTGGAAGCGGTGGAGGCGAGACTCGAACTCGGAACGCCCGTCCTCTCCAGCACGCCTGCCCCGGCCCGGGGGTTCGAGCCCCGCGCTCACCAGCCCCAGGAAGGCGGCGCACAGGATCACCGTGGTGAACCAGCGCAGCCAGCTGCTCCGCCGGGGGCCCGCCACCGCCGCCGGCTGCTTCTCGGCCCGCGCCCCGGGCTGGAGGAGCCGCTGCCCCGCGGCCGGGCCTCCGACCCCATCGAGTTGCAGGTCCGGCTCCAGCTTGGCGGCTCGGGAGAGGCGGTCGGCGGCCGCCCGGCGTGTCCCGCGAGCCCGGAGAAGTGGAGCCCAGAACGGGCCCCGCCCCTGCAGGGCCGGCCGTGCCCGCGGGCGCCACCTCCCGAACGGCCCCGGGTTTGGGGGGCGGGGAGGCGGTCAAGGCGGGGAGATCGAAGTTCGGAATAGCCGAGCTCTGCGGGGCACGGCGACGGGAGCCCCGCGCCGCCGCGGCCACGTGGCGGAAATGTGGCCTCTCGCCGGCCACGGCCTTGCTCGGCAGCTGCGAGTTGCCCGGGGAAGTTGATGGCGTTGCCTAGGAGACCGGGCCGCGCTCTCCCGCCTCTCGGGCGCTCCTAGCTGAGCCCCCAGTGGCCCGGCGGGCGGGCGCCCCGTAGCGGAGCAAACTGGAGCTGCAGCTGTGGGGCGGCCGCGTAGAGGTCAGCGGCGGCCAAAGGGTTAGGAGGAGAAGCGGGCCCAGATTGCACCCCGGAGCCTGGTGCTGCTGCATGAGGGGGCCCTGGGGATTTAAGGGCGCCCGAAGGTCTGTCCCTTATACAGCTCTGAAAGTCCTGCCCTCGCTCTTGGGAGCCTTGTCCTCTGTTGCTCTGTCGTTCACCTGTCAGCCCACAAGCATTTGTTGAACCTCACATGTAAAGTAAGATTTCGCGTGTGTTATCTCGTTTACTTCTCTTAAGGCTACATTTCATGTTGTCTGTAGCGGGGAGGAATCACCGTGTAGGGCGGAGGCGTGGGGGTTAAAGAATTCACCAGAGACGGAGTGGAGAACGCGACAGGGGACTCGATAAGAAAAGCAGCAGACAAGACAGGCGAGGTCTGCTGCGCAGTGAGGGTCCCGAGGCTCCGGGCATCATTCCTTGGTTGTGTTAGGGGGAACAGGATGTCCTAAAGCTAATTCCATACAGGCTGTGTGGACTCCACCCCCACCCCAGGCCAAAGCCAAAGACACTGGGAACTCCAAATCCCATCACCACCAAAGGGAAGGTGGCTGGGACCTGAGGGTGGGGTTAAGCAGCCAGGTTGGTATAAAGCCAGACATGTGGGCTTTGGAGGGGTTCCCCCAATTTGGCTCTCCGCCAGCTCGCAGCGACCGGCCAGCTCTGAGAGTGACTTTGGGTTTCCAGGTTGGCGGATCGGGTAGGACATATTAAAGACTTTATTTCCCTATTTTCTCCCTGAGTTGTACATTTTCCTTATTTCCTTTTCCCTTGTAAATAAACCTTTTATTAACCTTTTGCGTGTGTCTGTAGTGGAGTATTCATAAGTCCCTTTTAAGCACGGGTGAGGACCCACAGCCAGGAACCCGTTCAATATCGGGGCTGCTCTATAACAGCTAGACCCCCACGGGTTGGTGTCTCACGAAGCCACAGCAGGAAATTCGCAGACGCTCAGGCGAGAAAGTGAGAAGAGCCAGGTTTGTTTATAGAAAGAAAAAGTTTATTGATGAGAAAAAGAACAGAAATAAAGTGGGACTCCCAGGCCAGGGAACCAGGCCTGGAAGGGGCAAGGAAGCCAAAGTGGAGTTGTGTCTCAGGGAATATAGACCTTCTTTCCCTCACTATTCTGAAGCTCCACCAGTCTCTCTGTGATTGGTTAGTTCTCGGCTGTCTCACTTAATTTGCTACTGAGGGGGGATCTTCACATTCCTTATCTAGCAGGTCTGTCTTTCCCCATTTGTTGCATCTTTATCTTTATGGCCCAGTCCTCTGGATGAGCATCCCTGCATTGAAGTTAAACAGCTGCCCTTCTAACTTGTCCATAAATTAAACCATTCTCTATTTCTCCACTCTCTTGCCTCCCTTTACCACCTGAAGGAAACCAGGACCAGCGTTAACAATGTTGTCCTTGGTTCTGGGATGTTTGTTTTTCCTAGTGGAATTGGTTACACTCCTCTTGCTGCCCTTATCTCTGAAGCCTTCCTCAATTCTCCGAGGTCCCCTCCTGCAGTGTCCCTAAAACTGCCTAATTCCTAGCTTGCCCTGTGTCTCATTTTGAAATGTGCATGCAATTAAATATGCTTTTTGTGATATTTATGGCAAAGCTTCCTAGAAATCTAATTTAAAATTACAAATCTAAATTAAAGAAAAATTTGGTAGTCTTTCATTTGATTGATTAGAGAAAATTTTGTGGAACCTCTCAGTAGAGCTCCTGAGACACTCCATAAAGTTTCTCCTTTTCCTCATGGGAAAGATTTTAGATGAATTTGACCTATTTGATATTTACCTGGCAAAGTGGAACTGTTACTTACAGGGCAGCCCCGACATAAAACGGGTTGCCTGGCTGTGGTCCCCACCCGCGCTTAAAGGGACTTAATACTCCACTGCAGGCACACACGAAAGGTTAATAAAAGGTTTATTTACAAGGGAAGGGGAAATGAGGGAATTTGCAACTCAGGGAGAAAATAGGGAAATAAAGTCTTTAATGCGTCCTACCCGATCCGCCGACCTGGAAACCCAAAGTCACTCTCAGAGCTGGCAGGTCGCTGCGAGCTGGCAGAGAGCCAAAATGGGGAAACCCCTCCAAAGCCCACATGTCTGGCTTTATACCAACCTGGCTGCTTAACCCCACCCTCAGGTCCCAGCCACCCTCCCTTTGGTGGTGATGGGATTTGTCTTTCCCAATGTCCTGATGGCTTTGGTCTGGAGTGGGGGTGGAGTCCACAAAGCCTGTATGGAGTTGGCTCAGGACATCATTTCCCCCTAACAGAACTTTATGGGAAGCATTGTCATTTGGGAGAAATGTTGAAGTGCCTGATACGTAAATTGTCAATTTTGATTGTTGTTGTCCTGCAATATTGTAGGTTGTTTCAATGGTTTGACATCTTCAGAAATTGTTTCTGGAGAAATTAATAGAAGAGAGACCTCAACTCATTCCAATCGGTGGAAATTTTGATAGTACAAATATCCTACAAAGGACTGAATGGACTATTGGAGAGGAACATGATTTCTGGTAAGTTTTTCTCTGAAGTAATACAGGGATTTTGGTATTGTTTTGTTTTGACACAAGGAAAATTTTCTTATTTTGACTGACAAGGATCTGCAATAATCTAGGATTTTGGTAAGCAAAACTAAATTGTGTTTTCATTTTCTCTCTCCTTGATACCAATATAACATGAAAAAGTAGTAATTTTTATTATTCACATCAATGGGCTTATTTTTGCATATCAACAGGGAATTTTGTCTCCTTTGAATACAGAATAGGAAACATGTTTTTTTTAAAAAATACGTTTTTCTTTTTTTAAAGATTTATTTTATTTATATGAGAACTGGGGTACAGGCCAGAGGCCCAGGAGGATGAGAGGATTCACCCAGAGACAGAGCAGGGAACAGAACAGGCAGACTGACCAAAGACACTGCTGAGGGGAACAGCAGGTGAGACAGGAGAGGTCTGCTGTGCCATGTGGGTCTCTCCCTGGGAATTGAACCTACACTGCAGAGGCTGTGCTAACCGGGAGGTCTGGAAACATATTTCATTATGTGGCTTTGATTGAAATTCTTCTAGAAGTTGAATTGAGCTGAGCCATGAAGAAAAGATGCTACCTTATAGGGTTCCAGGGACCTTAAACAAAGGTGAGGAAATTTGTCACCACAGCAGCACTGGAAAACCTGGAGAAATTCCTGGCAATGTGAACAGAAAACCCTGGAGTGGAGTGGAGTCTGGTAAAACTGTGGCCCTAATCCTGAAGCCTGCATGGACTGGATGTGGAGAGCTGACTCTAATCCCATATGGAGTATTTTGACAAAGCCAAGTAAATTGCTGCTTGGTTTTTCTGCCTTGGGACTTTATGCAAAAATGGGTAAAATGATGGGAAGTAGATTTAGCTTGCAAAATTATTTTACTCCAATATTGGACAGAATTGTGATCAAAGTGGAGAGAAATTGATTTTAAACAAGAAAAACCAGTTTTAAGATTTTCCTTGCTAGGATTTTCTTTCTTTTTTTTTTTTTTAGATTTATTTATTTAGGGCCTCCCCGGTGGCGCAGCAGTTGAGCGCTGGGTTGCGAAGCTGCCCGCAGCCTCTGCAGCGCCGGTTCGATCCCCGGCCACCGGGCGAGGGTCCCACATGGCGCGCAGACCTCACCTGCCGCCCGCGGCTCCCCTCAGCAGTGTACTTCGGTCCTTCTGCCTGCTCTGCTCCCCGCTCTGGCTCTGGTGAATTCTCTCACTCTCCCGCGCTTCTGACTGTACCCAGTGCTTGTATAAACAAAACAAACAAACAAATAAATAAATAAAACATGCCTCTAAAAAAAAAAATTTATTTATTTATACAGGCAAGAACAGGGGTACAGGCCAGAGGTGTGGGAGTGAGACAGAGTAGGGAGCAGAACAGGCAGACTGACTGAAATACACTGCTGAGGGGAGCAGCGGGTAAGTCAGGAGAGGTCTGCTGCGCCATGTAGGTAGCTCCCTGGCTGGGGATGGAACTTGTGCTGCAGTGGCTGCAGTGAGCTTCATAGGTTGTATCTTAACCTCTTGCGCCACCATGGAGGCCCAGGATTTTCTAATAATCTGTTTACTGTTTTATTTTGCCTAAAGCCTTCAGATTTTTTTTCCATTTTGACTTGGATTGATGGACTGTTTTCCAGAAATAGAGGACTTTTGCCATTCTGAATGAAGTTGGTTTGGAGAGGTGTTGGGTTCAGACAGCGGGACCCTAGAGTTACCTGAGAAAAGTCTCACCAGAGCTCCCCTTTCAGTGGCGTGCGGTGAGTGTCCCAAAAATTCCTCCACAAGGCACAGATGTTACTTGAAAAAGCGCAGGGTTATTATAAAAGGGACGGGAAGTCGAGGCTTGCTCGAACACAAGCGGGCAGAAAGAGCTGCCCCTGAAAGGGACAGGTTTGCTACACTTGATCTTAGCCAAAAGGCCGAGAAGCGATATGAAAGGGACAGGTTTGCTAAAAGCG